TCCCACAGGAGAGGAGCCTGACAGCTAAAGACTGCTCTCGGAGAGGAAAGTGCTCCATTAGGATAATATATTACCATAAGGTTTTTAAGATTGGATGGAGCTCGGTCATTCAGGGCTTTCTATGGGCTTTTTGGACCAGCTTCATTTGTTCTTTCAGCCGTGGCTCAGGTAGTAGGGCAGGTTGTCCGCTAATCGCAAGTTTGTCGATGCATCATTGGGCAAGACACTGAACCCCAAGTTGTCCCCGACGGCAGCTGAGCTGTCCAATGGGAAAATAAGAAATACCTTGTAAAGTGAACCATCGCTAATCTCTCTAGTTTTTTAGCCATTCAGGTTGGCAATGCTAAGCTTCAGTAGAAAGTTCTGAACAATATTTCACCTTCATCTGATAGGCTTCCTCAGTTCTAACTGCCACATGCCCAAAACTCACACGACTCGAGGTGTGAATGCACGAGGAGAGGCTTCAAAACTGCATAATAAGTCGCTGATAAGTGGTGTTGTAGACGCCCACCTCGGTGTAGAGATGGCTGTTCCAGTTTAACTCCTGATTATACAGTTTCACATAGATGGCTTCATTCACTCCTCTCCGTTTTAAGGTGGACTATTTACAGTCTTGCTGGTAGCCAATGGCTCGCATAAACACACTGAATACTGGCATTTATTTTAGTGTCCAGTATTTTCCAACCTATAGTATTTCACAAAACACAACTTCACATTGTAGCTTTCCTTCTCCCAGCAGCCATTAGATTAAGTAAAGCTCATCTACATGGCAAACTGACCACACAACAAACTGACTGCCTGGAGGCAAAACGTGTAACATTCAGTGGTTTTATTTCTATTTCCTCAGGTAGCTCTGTGTGGAAAGCCTTTTACTTCACTCAGAACTTCTACCCAGAGGACAAGATGGCCTGTTTCCACACGCAAGTCTGCTTCTGCACACCAAATTACGTGACCTACCACGATCCTCCACTGCTCTTCGATCTCTCGAGGGACCCATCAGAGACCACACCGCTGACTCCAGACAACGAGCCGGCCTTTCACTCCATCCTGGCTGTGATGAAGGAGGCCGTGGAGACGCATCAGAGGTCGGTGAAGCCTGTGGAGAGCCAGTTAACTGCGGGGAAGCTGATATGGAGGCCCTGGCTGCAGCCCTGCTGCTCCACACTCACACAGCTCTGTCAGTGCCAGCAGGATCAATAGGCTGCTGTCGGGCTACAGAACAAGATAATTATACTTAATAGTGACACTAAACTAATCTCATGTGTGACCTCAGGACTACTTGCATGATTCCCTGAGACTTCCACACAGCAACCTCAACATGAATCTCAGAAATCAGAACATTATTCCACCTGTCATTTACTAGCCGACTGGATATTTGGAGTAACAAAGCAAATTCAGGGTAATAAAAGACATATTTTTCATTTTATTGTGAACAGTTGCTTTCACTACATAATTGATCACCCTTTTGTGACATTCATTTACCCTGTACTGTAATGTTTCCTGTGAGGAAAAAAGTGTTTGCTCCTCATTTTGGGGGCTTTGCTGTAGCAACACAGGAAACAAATTAATCCAAATTTATCATTCTGTGAACAACAGTTACATTAATTGCAGACGTTTTGCATGCATCATTAATTTAAAGTTACCTGGAGGCAAACTTGCCCCGCCATAAGTCACAGAAGGCCGATCTCATTTCTCTACTTTGAGACTCTTCCGTCCTCCTGCCTGTGACCCGGGAATCGATCTCAGGGTGCCATCTTGAAGGATGTCTCAATTCCTAAAATGCGTCTCGAGGACAGAGCAGGCTTTCCGGTGGAGCCATGCATCCTCAATGTATCTTTTGCGGGAGTCTCTCTGGCGTATAAAAGAGACGTGACGCAGCTGGAATACACAAACCACGCCGGAAGCGAAACCGACAAATATGGACTGTTTACAGTGTGTAACATAAATCATTGTCACATTATGAATTGAATTACGAGTAAACATATACTGTAAATTGGGTTGAACACTTCTGCTCATCTGATAGAGATCAGAAAATACAGTAACAAATGATGCAGCTGTGGAACACGTCATGTTGAATTGATGTCACTTTCAAGTCGAGGAAAGGAATCGAGGATGTTCAAACTGTCTGAGTCTGATGGTTTACAGAATATGGTGTAACCCCACCTGTGGGCTGAGCTCTTGTCCTTCTTAAGATATCAGAAATGCAAAGAAGAGGGTAATAAACGGAGCAAAAATGAAAGGTTAAAAAGGGATTCACAGAGCTTAATATATTATTTCAACAAAGAGTCAGATCCAAAATGGAACCAGAAACCATCCCAATAAGGCAGAAACTAGACTCCATCACTGCTGTGGCGGGAGAAACTGGGGCTTTCATTCTTTTCAGGCTTCCCAAAGAGCACATGTTAAAGTCTTTACAATCTGAGTGTTTCTCCAACAGTAAAAAGAAAAGATTGATGTCGATCTCATGTGTATGTTATTTTACTCTTGTAGTGGCTGTGGAGCAAAGATGCACATGAACAAAGTGATGTATGGTCCTGCTGACTGTTTCACATGAAATATAGCTTGCAAGCTAGCAAACGTGGACGCAAACAATCCGGCGTTTGAACGTCAGCTTTGCCGACGATTCACGAACAAGAAAACGTCTTGTTCCTGTGTTTTTGATGAAAACACACCTGCAGTACCAACACTTTTAAAGCTCACGTGCTTTGTTTAATTTTGACACAAATGAAAATGTAAAAAAACAATTTATATGATATTCAGTGTTGAACATGTGATGCAAGTAATGAATAAACAGTCTGTGAACACTTATCATTTTAGATGAAGAGTGTCCAGGCCCTGAAGGATGTACTGTATACTAACTTTGTGCTGTTTTTTTGTGTTGTATTAGTTATAACAAACAGTGTGCTGTGCTAATGAAGTGCTGGTTCAGGTGTGGAGTAGCTTAAATGATTTGATTCTGAGAAAATTAAAGCCAGAGACACACACCAAGACTCCTACATTTATTAGAGTCATGACTTAGCCGCTGATCAGAATTATCTCCTTAACACCAGAGAATCCCGCTTTAATTATAGAGATTGTCGGACCCCTGTCACTTGTCTAAGTTTGCCTGGCCTTTGAAGTAGCAGGGCAGTATTTCTTCTCTTGTTTAGACCATTTGTTCATTATTATATTAAACCAAATAGTGTCTGAAGGGTCTTTGACAAGCGGCCGACTCCTACACTGCAGTTTTCATTTTCATTTAAGGCTGCACTGATCAATAGTTTTTATATCAACACTTGAAAAAAATGAATCGTGTTGCTCATAGCGATGAGCCCACATCGACACTCAAACTCTGTTCCCATCAGCCTTATTTCCAGCTGCTACAGACAAAAAGAAAAAAAAACACTGCACACTACCTGCTCAGCAGCAAACAGCAGGCAGACACAGTTAGAGACGAGCCGGTGAACACGGTGCAACATTTAGCAGCTAAAGAGCCAGAGATTTTTTTTTCTCTGGAGATGTTTGAAACCAGACTAGAGTGTTATAAAAAGCTGCTTGCCAACATGTCAGCCACAGAAGTTTAATAAAGTGATGATAAATCAGGTTGTGTCTACAGTAGAAGAAGCCTATTCTGGGTAGTTAACAAAGAAGAAACAGGCAGGGAACAAGGGACATTAAAAGCACTGCTACCATTCAGTACGCACCTGAGGCCATCCAGTGTCGAGAAAAATTTGATTAATTTGCCAGATTGGTCTTGCATTGGGAGTCAAATGAACGATGCTATTAGTTCTAAGTGTTTCAGTAGAAGGCAACTGGACTTCCCTTTTTGGTTCTAGATGTTTCGTTTCTCATTTAAGAAGTTTGAACTAACTGGTGGGGAGTCTCTGGTGTTTAATTCTTACCTCCAAATTCAAAAATGGTTGTGAAACTATCCACAGTTTTTGTGTGTAAGTATGTGGCATCATGGACCCCGTGCTCTGGTTAGAGATGGCTCCACTTTAACATAAACTTCTCAAACCATCTTTCGTGAACATTGCTGTCCTCAAAGAAGTGTTTATGTGCAGGTGGACTGCTTGTCCTGAGGAACTCCTGTGTTGTGCCATGCATGTGTCGAGTGGTTGTTTAATCTCTACTGTGTATATATAGGTCTGTGCACGCCATGCTGCATTGCATACGACATCCTTAGAGTGGATGTGTTTTGGTTGAATCATGGTGCTGGGTTTGTAGAGTTAAGATTTACCATGAAGTGAATGACAGAATCTACACAGACAGACACTTACACTGGATAAGACGTGAGCTTTAGAGTTCAGCCCTTCAATGCTACTACAATTAAAAGTACGGATATGATATATTTGACCATCTTTTTCTTATCATATTCTCGTGTGTACCCAAACTTCAGTGCAATATTAAATCACTGGAGTACAGCTTAACATTTCAAAGATTTACATAAGCACCTGTATAAGATGTTCAGTCTAGAAATATGCTTTAAAATGACATTATTTATATTAGATTTTAGTCAAGAAAAAAATGAACTAAAGTAAGAATCTGATTAAGCCTTCACTGCAAACAGAGCTTGAATGTTTTCTGAAAGTATTAAGACTCTCAAACAGCTGCTAATCCACATATTTATCATGTCCTTAAAACACTTATCTGTGTGCAGCATCAGTCTGACGTGTTCTTCACCGTAGATGTCAGTTTGTGAGTGTTTGTCACCACTGACAGTTGATGAGGTGCTGCAGCAACACTGACATCAGACATATGTCCCCGTCTGACCCCAGCGCTCAGTCTTTGACCAGCAGTGTCCACAGCTGAGCAAAGCAGAGCTGAGGAGGAACAGCAGCTGTAAATCACTGCCCACACGCCCTATATCTCACAAGACAAACTGCACTGCAGTGTTTTCTCTTCATTGTGAAACGACATTTGTTCCTTCTGTTTGGGATGCCTTCTATAAATCCCCCTCATCATATAATGAAATAAGTGACAAATGTGGACACCGGTCTTTTTCCAACTTTCAGTTCGGTGAATGAAGGCGGGCCGCGGCAGTTAACTGATGCTGCTGAAATTCTTCAATGTCACCGTAGTGCTGGTGATGGCAGACTTCTGGATGTTGTGAGGAATTTCTGAGGAACCAACTCCCAGTTTGGAGGCAGACATCCTCACTGTCGCAAAGATTGAGCTTCAAACTTTACTTTTTTGATAAAGCTTCTAGGTAAGGTTATCCTGCAATAGGCCCAGTCTCTGAAGGACTTCCCATGATGCTCTGAGCACCTCTCATCTCCTCTCCTCTCCTTCACTCTCCATGCATTTATATGCCAGCAGTGCATGTCATTAACTTCTTTCCTTCTCTCTCCTGTAGTTTGTGTTTTGTCCTCCCTGCAGGCGTCTCTGGCTTCAGAGCTTTCTGATCTGCAGTTAGTGGCCTCGTCGACCTCCACAGTGTTTATTGTTCACTTGTGTGTTGTTTTTGCTGTTTTCTCTCTGCTGTCTTCTTCTCTCTCGCCTTTAACCTCACCCCCAACTGGACGAGACTGACGGCTGCCCTGCCTGAACCTGGTTCTGCCGTTCTTGTTTCCTACTGTCACCAAAGAGCTTGCTCACAGGGAATTGTTGGAGTTTTTTGGAGCGCTTCACTATAATATAGTTTTGTAAGGTCTTCACCTCATTATGTCAGGTGCCCTAAGATGACTTATGATGGGAAATTGAATTGAATTTCAGCTTTTCTCGACTTTTTTCATCGGTTTAGGACTGGAGGTTAGTTGTTAGGATTAAGAGCTCCGTATGTACGAACACATTTTTATCAACACACTTTCACTGTGACCTGACAGCACTGAATCACCACTGTTGTTGTCAGCTCAGCTGCGATTCACAAGATGTTCTCTTCTTGTTAAAAGTTTGTTAGAAAACAACAAGAGCCAAAGAAATCCAAATCGGAGAATTCTGTCTACTGAGTTAGAACCCTTATCTGCCTTCACATGCTTTTTTTTTTTCTTCTTTCTGCTAAACTGAACGTGACAGCTTGAACTAGCAAACTGACTGAATGTGGAACTGAAGACAGTCTGACTCTGGGCTGGACGTCAGAGTACATGAACTGTGATGTGTTCACTTACTGCTCCGTGTCCCCAAGTGTAAGTGAACAGTGACGCACCCACTTTGCGTGGAAGAAGAAAGGACTTAGTTTGTTTAAAACCTCAGGTGAAGTTTGAGTCATATCAGATTGTGATAAAATCTAATTGATTGATGAGAATAACTGGAACATCCTCAATCATCTCCTCAATCTACTTGATTTACATTTAGTTTAGGTAGTATGTATGATCAGAGTAAGCCTAAGTGCTCCAAAGGCAAATGGACTTGGTTTGTATTGCAAACATGTTACTATTCGGCATCTCTTTGCCATGTATTTTACTGGTACTAGGTAGAAGACACCACTTATCAGGTACTTTAACACAGTCTTGAGATCCCTCCCCAGACAGTTTCATCACCATCCATCCATT